TTAACCACGGGCGGCTGGAACACGGATTCGAACCCAGGTTTGCAATGGTGCTGGCTCAGCGTCTTAGCGTCTCTGACCTCTTACACACCTGCCGCATTTTTGTTTTAACTATTAACGTGCACCTGCTCTTCGCGAAGTGAACACGTCATTCCGAGTGGTGTATGTCTACAAGTAACCATAGCGCCTATAACTAAACAACATCACAGTCTGTTGGCAAGCATGATAAGAACGTGCGTGGAGGAGGACGTCGTATTATAGACAAAACGTTCTTTAGGGCGGGAATTTAACACAAAAATGACACGGTACAATTATTACATGTCTAGCCAAAGGTCAGCAAATGGCTTAGGGGTGAAATCTAAACGCAGACGATGGTGGTAATGAGACCGTAAGCTAGGTCACCTGAAGGATGTGTTGACTTTAACAAGGGGAAGACCTAAAGTCAGATGGTGGTGGAGCGGTAGTTCCTGGTGATTCGAGTTCGATTCCCGATCATGGACAAACACCAGTGGCGATTATCCGAACTGGTCTTGAGCCTCCGCGAGGTCGACTCAGCCGCAAATTATCAACCGCGATGTGTAAACATAAACTAGGGAGACAAAGGCGGCTGGGCATGGTACTGAACACCCACCATCTTGTGTGTCGTGCCGCCCTTCAAAGTTTCTCGCGAAAAGCACTTGCCCCAACAGTCGGTTGAAGGCGAGGCGGGGCGTCTATGTCTTTGGTAGGGTTGCCACCTGTTCAGGTATTCCCAGGATCATCCTCTTTTTGGTGACGCGGCTGCAGTCGTGGGAAATTCGTCAGTCTTCCCGCCACATTACAAGTCTCGGATTTTGTCAATTGTCTAATAATACAGCACGCAAGACCAATGCGTCAACGTGCAGTTCCACCCTCTGCTGCTTTTGTGAGATATTCCCACCATATCACAATAATAATTTGCTTTTTTATCCAGGAAAATCACACTGAGTAATGTTACTTTTCTTTCAGGAGGATCATGCTTGCAGCTTCATTTGATTATATTTTAAGATGGGTTTTCCTACCATAAAAAAAATAATGATGAGTGTTTATTATACAAGAGGGAGGAAAGTCGGATGGAAACAGATGGAGACAAGTTCACTTGCCGTATTTCACTTTTGGCGAGCCGGGGGTACGACACCTTGATATCAAAAGGTTAGGGGAATTTCACAACATCTGTGCGGTTGATCCATCAATCCTCGCTGTGATCCACAGCTCTGGTTTAGAAGCCACGTGCATCGTAGCCACCACTCCCCTACAGGCATTTGTTTGTGTACCCCTGCGGTGGCAACTCTATAGGTGGTGGTGGAGGTGATGAAAAGACTGCAGGAGTGGTCTCCTTGCAATGGAGAAGACTTTACGGAGTGTGGTAAGGCAGCCATGAGCGATGACGGTGGTGGTGTTTTTTTGTTTATGTTCTCACGAGGGCCCTGCTTTAACTTTAAAAATATATATCTGCCACATTTGTTGCTGAAATTTGAGGTTTGAACAAAAATGAACATCTCAGATTTCAGCAACGAGGGTTATCAGTCATAACCTATCCACCGCTGGATGAACGTGTCAAGCAATCACTGTCTTGAAAGCCACAATCTCCGATTTATCTCTGATCTAAGCAAGCAGATGTCATCGCTACTTCTCCGTGGTGGACGTGACACCTTCCCTTTTACGTTTGAAGATTTAGGTGACCGAGGGTCGTGTTTCAGGCTGCATTGCCAACAGGATACAAGTGACCATACTTCATCACGCAGTCAATTTGGGGTTGGGGAAGATACACCAGCTTACAAGGGTGGAGTGGCGTCACTCACTCAGGTGGAGTCGTGGTCTCCACTGCCCCCTACAGACCACCCCCTTGCTTGTCATGCAGCGGGGTGTAGAGTGGGGGTGGGGAACATTTTTCTTACTGATGGCCGAATAGGACCTTCAAAATAATTTGTGCTATTATGATGAATACGCTTGTTAACCCAGGATAGCTTCACTGAGTCTCTTCTTCAGGAGTGCCCTGCCAAGTTTTAGCAATATTGCGATAGTAATCCCAATTGAGCAATGTGCATGTAATGTTTACACCAACAGGATGTCTGTTTAACACGTAGGCTTTCGCGACCAATATTATTCATAATAAAAGTTTTTGGGTTAGATCGCGTTATTTATAAATGTGTCGTAACCCTCCACCACCCGACACGGCCAATCAGCAAAAAAGTGTCACGTTGACATAAAAAAAAAATTCACTACTTTAGCCCACCGGTGTGTTGAAGAGTGAATCCACAACATTTACAGTTTGAGTAAATGTCTGTCTTGGCCAAAACTATCTTTAAAATGTATGGGGATGGGGTTGCTGCAGGAGGAAACCGGAGGAAATCCATGCAGAACAGCGGGAGAAACACACTCACTCTGCAGAACATGGGGATTGAGCATTCGCCAGGATGGTCGGCGTTTGCCCAGGGCAGGACGGACGATCAATGCTCGCCGCGACAAAGGGCTCTCCGGGAGAGGACCAGCCGCTGCTACTGCAGGGTGAGCGGCTCAAGGATCAAGTCTGCGGCTGCGTTGTGTTTTTTTTGTCGGGGCACTGTTGAAGACACTAAACCAATGCCGAGACTGTCGCCGTGTGGAGTCACTGCGTTGAGTTGTTGAACGTGCGATTGGAGGCGCCAGCCAAGTCCCGAGACTGGCGTGGTGCCCTATAGCATTGAGGGAATTGCATGGGAGAGAAAATGTAACCGAACTGCTCTCTTTCCCTTAAGGGCCGTCTATAAATGACGTCACGAGATTATTATTTTTACGATTTTTGACCCCCCCCCCCCCCCCTCGTCACACGGCGTCACAAAAGTCAGACCCCCCCTCAAATATGACGTCACAAAGCTCTGCCCCCCCCCCCCCCTCAAAGCCATATTTCCATTTTGAAAATAAAACATGCTTCAAATCGCTTTCAAATATTGTCATTGTAGTGCGTATTTAATGTGGCCCTGCACTCTGATGTTGTATGAGAAAACATTGATTAAAAAGTCTATTTAATTAAGTAGAACGTGTTGTCTATATTTATTTAAAGTTGCGCATTTTGATGTGACGTCACATTTCTCACATCCCCCCCCCCCTCGTCACACATCGTCACAAATGTCTGACCCCCCCCCCCCGGTGCGTGACGTCATTTATGGACGTCCCCTTATTTAAAAACGAGCAACCCTCACAGTGACTTTATTTATTAAGGGCCGTTTCGTATTTACCGAATTTGAAGAAAATGACTCTTAAATTTCGATATAAAGCTTTCGTGACTGCAAGGATTAATCTCCTTTGGTTCTTTCTGTAAAGTCACGTAGAATGAGAATAAAATAATAAAATAACACAATAAAATTCTCACGACGTTTCGTCCAGAGGACAGTCCAGTCCCTTCACCTGATGAAGGCCACTTGTGTTGTGGCCGAAACGTCGTGAGAATTTTATTGTGTTATTTTATTCTCATTCTACGTGACTTTACCGAAAGAACCAAAGAAAATTACTCTTGTTTTTTAGTGGCCAACCTCCCCCCTCCCCCCCTGGTCCAGAACTATCGCTCAGCACCGCCACGCGGTCTCCACGTGTTCCCTCCACGTGAAGACCGCGTGGCCTCCACCACGTGGCTTCGGTCTCTGCTGCCGAGGGCTTTGTCCCCCTCTCAGCGATTGGACGCTGGCTCACCCCTCGCATTGCCAATTATTGATGGGCGACTTCACGGGCCACCGTCCAATCACAGCCGCCACCCTGAACACACCCTCCCAATGTCGCGCGCTGATTGGCTGGCGTTTCACAACTACTCCGTCCCCCTCTGTTACACACACAAACGTCAAACCACGTTGAAAAGTCAATAATAACGCCATGTGTGTGTGGCCTCCATGGGACAAATGTGATGTAACGTTTCGAGTAATGGCCCGTCTTCATAGCACATACATGGAGGGGTCAGAGAGACGGTAGATATTAAGAGTTGGGGGCTGCACGTGTTTATGCCATGTATTAAATTAATTTTTGGTGATCATTTTTAAATAGGCTACGTTGGGTAAGTTACCTAATCGTATCTGTTGAGCAACACACAAAGCCCCTTCAAATATATTTTTAAAAAATATATAACTCCATAAACTCGACTTTCGTGACTACAGGAATTCATATCCTTTGGGTTGTGTCGGTAAAGTCATCATGTAGATACGTTCAAAAAGTTAATAAAGTAAACAAGTAAACTAGGACACCTGACGGTCGCTTGTGTTGCGATCGAAACGTAGTTTTTTGTTTATTTTATTTTGAACCTATGTACGTGACTTAATAAAAATGTATATATATTTTATATGTAATTTTATTGTTTCCCTTCAACGTGACTTTTCCGAAAGAACCAAGAATATGAATCACTGCAGTCACGAAAGCTTTAAATAAAAAAATTTAATAATTCACGTAAACGCTCTTAGCGGCACTTGCGATTGGCTGAGAGCCCCCGCCGAAGGGCGTCTCCGCCTAAGCGCGATTCTGATTGGTTCCGCGAGACGTCGCCTCAGCGCGCCCCGCCCCCCTCCGCGAATGTGTGACGTCACGCCGACGCGTATTGCGGCGCCATCTTGCGTAGGGGATCGGCCCCCCCCCCTCGAAGTGCGCGGGCGTTGTGCGTGGGAGCGGTGGTGCAGCGGTTAGCGCACTGGCGCTCCAGGAATCGATCTGAATATTTACGCGTACTGTGGGAATCCGATGAGCTACAAACCCCGGCGGCCCATGTTCGATTCCGGCTCACGGCCACTACCAGCGGCGAATATCTGAACCGGTTCTGTGCCTCCCATAGGTCGACTCAGCCTCAAATGAGTACCTGGGTGCGGTGCGTAAAACATCGCCACTGGGGGGCAACAAAGGCGGCCGGGCGTGGTTGCTGCCCCCCTCCCCTCGTGTGCCACCGTGCTGGGATTTTTGCACACAGCGTTGGTGTACGGTGCTATTTCAGGAATATTTTTTCCTGTATTTTCTGTTTGCACAGTCACATAGTCACTTTAAGATGTTTTCTTGTTCGTGTTTTTTGTTTGTTGCGGTTGCATCCGATTCAAGAGCCGAATGGCTCACAGGGCTATACCAAATAAATAAACTATGAACTAAATGAACTACAACTACCCTGACCAAGATGGCGACCGGAAGAGGCTTCGATGGCGTTCGCCCTCGGTGGTGGTGGTGGTGGCGAGCGGAGGGGGTGGGGATGTTGTGGTGGTAGTGGTGGTGAAGATGATGGTGGGTGGTGGCGATGGTGGTGGTATTGGGAGTCTCCCTCTAACTACTTGGGCTGTCGTCGCCGCGGTGACATTTTAATTGAAGCTACGAGCCCCGCCCCCAAGGTAATGTTAAAACTGCAACATCAACAACAAAGAAAGTTCTCGGTTACTTTGTTAATCCACTGCTGGATGAAGGCATCCCCCTCCACACTCAGTAATTTCGGTTTATTTGGCCATACTTCACCACGCCGGTCCGTGCGGTGTTGGTGACGAGGTCAAGTCGGGAGTGGTGGTGGAGGGTTGAGGAGGACATCAGAACCGGGGTCTTACCCCTCTCTCGTACTGTGGGGGTCTTACTACTGTCTAGTACAGTGGGGGTCTTACTACTGTCACGTACTGTGGGGGTCTTACTACTGTCTAGTACAGTGGGGGTCTTACTACTCACGTACTGTGGGGGTCTTACTACTCACGTACTGTGGGGGTCTTACTACTGTCTAGTACAGTGGGGGTCTTACTACTCACGTACAGTGGGGGTCTTACTACTGTCTAGTACAGTGGGGGTCTTACTACTGTCTAGTACAGTGGGGGCCTTACTACTCACGTACTGTGGGGGTCTTACTACTCACGTACTGTGGGGGTCTTACCCCTCTCTCGTACAGTGGGGGTCTTACTACTGTCACGTACAGTGGGGATCTTACTACTCACGTACTGTGGGGGGTCTTACTACTCACGTACTGTGGGGGTCTTACCCCTCTCTCGTACAGTGGGGGTCTTACTACTCACGTACTGTGGGGGTCTTACTACTGTCTCGTACAGTGGGGGTCTTACTACTGTCTAGTACTGTGGGGGTCTTACTACTGTCTAGTACTGTGGGGGTCTTACTACTCACGTACTGTGGGGGTCTTACTACTGTCTAGTACTGTGGGGGTCTTACTACTGTCTAGTACAGTGGGGGTCTTACTACTGTCTCGTACTGTGGGGGTCTTACTACTGTCTAGTACAGTGGGGGTCTTACTACTCACGTACTGTGGGGGTCTTACTACTGTCTCGTACAGTGGGGGTCTTACTACTGTCTAGTACTGTGGGGGTCTTACTACTGTCTAGTACAGTGGGGGTCTTACTACTGTCTCGTACTGTGGGGGTCTTACTACTGTCTAGTACAGTAGGGGTCTTACTACTCACGTACTGTGGGGGTCTTACTACTGTCTCATACAGTGGGGGTCTTGCTACTCTCTCGTACTGTGGGGGTCTTACTACTGTCTAGTACTGTCGGGGTCTTACTACTGCCTAGTACAGTGGGGGTCTTACTACTCACGTACAGTGGGGGTCTTACTACTGTCACGTACAGTGGGGGTCTTACTACTGTCTAGTACAGTAGGGGTCTTACTACTGTCTCGTACAGTGGGGGTCTTGCTACTGTCACGTACAGTGGGGGTCTTACTACTGTCTAGTACAGTGGGGGTCTTACTACTGTCTCGTACAGTGGGGGTCTTACTACTCACGTACAGTGGGGGTCTTACTACTGTCTAGTACAGTGGGGGTCTTACTACTGTCTCGTACAGTGGGGGTCTTACTACTCACGTACAGTGGGGGTCTTACTACTGTCTAGTACAGTAGGGGTCTTACCACTGTCTCGTACTGTGGGGGTCTTACTACTGTCTCGTACAGTGGGGGTCTTACTACTGTCTAGTACTGTGGGGGTCTTACTACTCACGTACTGTGGGGGTCTTACTACTGTCTAGTACTGTGGGGGTCTTACTACTCACTCGTACTGTGGGGGTCTTACTACTGTCTAGTACAGTGGGGGTCTTACTACTGTCTAGTACAGTGGGGGTCTTACTACTGTCTAGTACTGTGGGGGTCTTACTACTGTCTAGTACTGTGGGGGTCTTACTACTGTCTAGTACAGTAGGGGTCTTACTACTGTCTAGTACTGTGGGGGTCTTACTACTGTCTCGTACAGTAGGGGTCTTACTACTGTCTCGTACAGTAGGGGTCTTACTACTCACGTACTGTGGGGGTCTTACTACTCACTCGTACTGTGGGGGTCTTACTACTCACGTACTGTGGGGAGAACGGTGGTGGTGGTGTCACGCCACACGTGAAACAACAACTCTAAAGAGACCGTGATCTAAATGATGCACAGTAATATAAAATAAACAATGTCTCCCGTCTCTCCGCATGAAAGTTGAAACGCACTTTATTTTTTTTTACACGTTCCCATTCATCGGCCGCATTGTTTTCGCATTGCATCGTTTCAGCGTTGATGAAATACGATTTAAAACTTTCGGGTCGGTTTCACGAGGCAATGCCTCGTTCAACTGTACTGGAATTACCCCGATGTGTGTAGGCTGAGACCCTCTCTCGTGTAAGATTAATGGGTCATCACTGCAACGTTGTATAGGGATACGTAACTCAAAGCAGTCGCACGGTTTTTGGGGTATTACCAAGTTGTTTAAAGATTTGTCACGTTTAAAACAGTTCCTCCAGTAAACTTTACTTTTGCATACCGTGTCAACCCATGCGATTTATCCCGTATTCCTGTACAGGGAAATTGAGTCGTCAGGGTCCATACGGCGTGCAGCCGTTTAAATAAGGGCATAAATAAGTAATATATTTTTACACTTTTTTTTTAAAACACGCTTTAATGTAATGTGCCGTACTAGTAATGGAAGAGCTCCACGACTCCAGGAAGTGGCCCAGAAGCTTGCCACAACGTAAGGGGGACCGTGGGTCAATTACAGCCAACGTCAGTTGAGCGTGGACAATTTGACCCAAGCCGAAACATCTAACATATAAAAAATAATGTTTAAAAATATATATTTTTTTTAATGATATAATATAGTATTGTCATCAGTATGACATAAGTATACCAAGCTTGCAATCTATCCCATATTGAGAAGTGGGTTAAAATTGAGTTACAAGATTTGTGGATGCGACAACAAGAACAGACAGAGTGAGTTAATAAAAAAGCGTGTAAAATAATATTTTGAAATATATTTTTTTATTTTTTATGATAGAATATAGTATTATCAGTATGACATAAGTATACCAAGTTTTCAGTCGATACCACATTGGGAAGTGGGTTAATATTGAGTTACAATATTTGAGGATACGACAGTAACTGACAGTGAGTTAAATAAAAGCGTGTAATAATAAAAATGACTGTGTTTCTCCCTTGTGATGGGACTTTGTAGGATGAACGTTGAGATTTGTAAGGGCACGGGGTGACCAATAAGGTCTGAATTGGTCTGTAATAAGGTAGGGCACTGATAAGGGGTTGACAGGTATGTAGTGCTGAGCGTACTAGTGGTAAATGTAGTAGTGGTGAGTGTACTAGTGGTGAATGTAGTAGTGGTGAGTGTACTAGTGGTGAATGTCTAGTGGTGATGAGTGTAGTCGTGGTGAGTGTTTATTTGTTTGTGTTTCTCATTTGTGATGGGACTTTGTAGGATGAACGTTGAGATTTGTAAGGGTGCGGGGTGACCGATAAGGTCTGAACTGGTAGATAATAAGCTAGGCACTGATAAGGGGGTTGACAGGTTTGTAGTGGTAAATGTAGTAGTGGTGAGTGTACTAGTGGTGAGTGTAGTAGTTTGAGTGTTTGTTTGTGTTTCTCACGTGATGGGACTTTGTAGGATGAACGTTGAGATTTGTAAGGGCACGGGGTGACCGATAAGGTCTGAACTGGTCTGTAATAAGCTAGGCACTGATAAGGGGGTTGACGGGTTTGCTTTTGTCAATCCACTGCTGGATGAAGGCCACCTCGAAACGTCTCCAATTTTATTTTTTTAACACTAATTGACGAATGTGATCATATGGCGATCGAGTATTACTTTAATATCAAGTGCGTGCGTGCCGTTGGCAAAGCAGAATCCCCGAATAATGATTGTGTTTAGGATATAATGACGCTTTGGGGGGGGGGGGGGGGGGGGGGGTCACTCGTCGTTACAGCATGAATTAATGCTGTAACGAGTGGTGAATCATGAGGGTGGTCGGTCAATGGGATGCCCTTCTCTGCCGTGGGGTAAAGGGGAATGTGGATGAAGCCGTTCTCGAAACAAAGAGGGCTTGGTACAGCTGTTATTGTTATGCGCCCGAGTGGGGCATTTTCGTTTTTACTCGGCCTATCTCTGCTATTGCCACACGTCAAAATGCTGTAATTTTTGTGTAACGTAACAATAGTTGCACAGTTACACGCATACGCCCTCGAATCCTTTACGCGCCTCGCATGCATGACTTACAGAAAGTCTTGTTCCGGACTGACGTCTCATTTATTGGAGAAGAGCAGAATATTTCATCAACGTTTCGGTACAGTCGTGATATTACACATTTCGGTGGCGATGCAGCTTTGGTTTGTGGCGCACAAGCGATGATTTGTGCTTTTAAGAAGGGCCACATCCAAAAACGTCACCTATTGTAAACTCTTCCTGTATTTTCATTTAAGGTGGTGTTATTGACCAACATGAGATGTTTTGTACATAGCAATTTGAAGACCAGACCAATACAAACCAGTAAAAGCCTGAGTCCTCAAACCTCGTGTTAAGGAGCATCCTGCATTGGGATGTTTGACCAAGTCAGTTTTAAGTGTGTATTTTTGCCAGGAGGGGGCGATGTTGCTACGTGAATCGCGATGAAGAATAGGGTCTACCCTTTCTGGCAATAAAACAGGTGTTAAGATGTTCAAGCGCAAAATAGAACCCTTTTGATACTCGGCAAAAAAAAGGTCCCATGATATTGCGAGGGATGTTTAGAACTTGTCAAATTTGGACCGTGACGTCAGCCCACGATGCCCTACGCTTTTCAAATGATGCCACTCGATCGTTAATGCCGTGCCGCGAAGTAGACGGCGCGTAGAAATTTATCGTGAATACACCTGCAGCATTAACTAGGGTGGCCTCCCGTTACGAGCCTCGAACTTCTGCAAACAGCGGCGAACGCGCTCCCGCCGAGCCGCACCACAGCTCCCTACGCCCCCTTCCTGCTCATCAAGCGTCTCAGTATTTCCTGCTTGTAACCTTTCTCACTCAGCACTTGGTGATGATGATGATGACGGAGGGCGTCGAGGACGGACAGCGGTGAGAGGTCAAGGGTTTGAGGTCGAGGAGCGGCGGGGCGGGGGGGGGGGCAGACATTGCCTCCCTACATTGCCAAGGGCAGCAACATGAACGCTGACGGCCGAAGCGTTCGCATCATCGAGTGGGAGGACCTGGACAAGCGCAAGTTCTTCACCTTGGGAATCGTGATGACCCTCGCGATCCGCGCCACCGTCTACCCCGCGTCGCTTATCCGCACGCGCCTGCAGGTGACGCCCCTCCTCCTACCCCCCCCCCCGGGCGTGCGATGTAGCGCGATGCGATCGCACTTATTATTATTATTAACGCAAAGCAGTCGTGCAACGTCGTTTGCGACTTTTTTTCCGGATGTGGCCGCGTGTTTGGTCGGAACGACATCCGTCCCGACGTTTTTATCCAGCGTGCCGGGAGCTTCTGGGGGAGAGCGGAAGCTCCCCCAGAGCACAGCCGCAATAGAACTGCATCTGGACAGAAACAGTGGCCATATTTCATATTCTTAGCTCTTTCGGTAAAGTCACATAGATGGACTCGTCCTTCTAAATAAACTGCCAAATCGCTGCGTGTGGCGCTGACGTTTTTAAAATAAATAAATAAATACGGCGTTTAAAAATAAATTAATGCAGACCGACACTTCTTTCAAATATTTCTTGCCATTGCTTTTCACACCTGATGACGACCGTTTGTGTTATGGTCGAAACGTCGTGAGAATTTTTATTTTTTATATATTTATTATTTTATTGTTTCCCTTCAACGTGACTTTACCGAAAGAGCTAAGAATATGAATTACTGCAGTCACGAAAGCATTAAGTCAAAATTTAGTGGCCATATTTGTTTATCGAGAGTCTATCGGTCCCGATGGGAACCTGTGGGGGTCTCTCTTATAGGTCTGTGGCTATCTATGTCAGTTTTTGTAAGTCAGTGGGTATCCATGCAAGCCTTTGGATGCCTGTGTTCGTCTGTGTGTCTCTATACGAGTCTGCGAGACGCTGCGTGAGTATGTGGGTCTCTGTGTGAGTCTGTGGGTCTCTGTGTGAGTCTGTGGGTCTCGGTGTGAGTCTGTGGGCCTCGGTGTCAGTCTGGGTTTCGGTGTGAGTCTGTGGGTCTCTGTGTAAGTCCGTGGGTCTCGGTGTGAGTCTGTGGGTCTCGGTGTCAGTCTGTGGGTTTCGGTGTGAGTCTGTGGGTCTCTGTGTGAGTCCGTGGGTCTCGGTGTGAGTCTGTGGGTCTCGGTTTCAGTCTGTGGGTCTCGGTGTGAGTCTGTGGGCCTCTGTGTGAGTCCGTGGGTCTCGGTGTGAGTCTGTGGGTCTCGGTTTCAGTCTGTGGGTCTCGGTGTGAGTCTGTGGGTCTCTGTGTGAGTCCGTGGGTGGGTCTCTTGTACGGATTTGTGGATCGCCATGTGAGTTTTTTATAAGTCGCTGGGTATCCATAAAAGTCTTTGGATGTCTGCGTTGTTCAGGTGCAGAAGGGCAAGAGCGTGTACAAGGGCACGGCGGACGCGTTCACAAAGATCGCGCGCGCCGAGGGCGCCCGGGGCCTCTACCGCGGCTTCCTGGTCAACGCCCTCACCATCGTCTCGGGCCAGGCCTACGTGACGACCTACGAGCTCGCGCGCCAGTACGTCTCGCGCTTCAGCGACAGCAACGCGCTCAAGTCGCTGGTGGCCGGCGGCTGCGCGTCGCTAGTCGCGCAGAGCATCACCGTCCCCATCGACGTCATCTCGCAGCACCTCATGATACAGGGTGCGTGCCCCTCCACTCCTGCCCCCGCCCTGCCCCCCTGCGTTGCCTGTGGCAGTTATTGATGTTGTCTGATGATGACCGTGACGTTTGTATATACGTTTGTATTCGAGTCCCGAGAGGCATTCTTTCAAAAAGTTTTCACCGTCGGAATGGCGATGTTGCCGCCGAGTAATTTACCGGTAGTTTTTTCCAGCATTGGCGATGTTGTTGGCCAATACCGGTTACATTGTGCGGGTGTTGTTTCAGCTATGGGGAGGAAAGCGGAGAACCCGGGGGAAACCCATGCAGAACAGGAGGAAAACGTGCAAGCTTCACTCGCACGCAACACTTGCACGCACTCTCACACAATCGCATTCTGTAAAACAGTAGAACAATTGTGGCCATGCAACCCCTATCTGTGGACCGTACAGTAAACCGCTGCAGTCTGCGCTCCTTCAACGGAGGAGGAGGAACGGCGTCGCGACGCGAACGCTCTCTGCTGAAGCCCTCTCGTCGTAGCCAGCAGCCGCAGCAGACCTCGACTTTGGCATCGAGCTCCTGAACCACATTGCCGCTGTCATCGGAGCAGACTCGAGCGGTTGTTGACGTGTCGATTAAACGGTGCAGGGAAGGACAGCGGCGCGATGGGCCGGTTCCACTTGTGCGCCACGGAAGGCTCGGCCCTACCGCTGGGCCGCTGGCGCATCGTGGCGGCGGAGATCCTGCGGGCGGACGGGCCGGCGGGCTTCTACCGTGGCTACACCGCCTCACTTCTCACCTACATCCCCAACAGCGCCGTGTGGTGGCCCTTCTACCATGCCTACACCGGTGAGACACCGCGCCCCCACCACCACCACTGCCAGGCTTTTGCTTCCCCGCCATCGTCATCATCAGCCATGATCGATCCACCGCTAAATGAAGGTCCTCCCGAAGCCGCCGCCGTCGTTGTTGCCACATCTTACGATCCTGCGATTCCTCGTAATCTATACAGCACCTGGCGATTCCTCGTAATCTATCCAGCACCCGGCGCACGAGCTGTTTTCATCACTCCGTCTCCATTCCTTGGCTGACATTCCAGAATTTTCCGTTCCTTCCTTAAAAAAAGCATCCCCCATCTCTTCTCCCCTAGCCCATCCTGCTTCCACTACTCCCGCCTCCCAGCTACGGCCAGGCCTTCCCCAACTCCTATCACTGCTCCGATCACTTCCCCTATCACTACCTCTATCACTACTCCTATCACTACCTCTATCACTACCCGTATCACTACCTCTATCACTACCCCTATCACTACCCCTATCACTACCCCTATCACTACCCCTATCACTTCCCCTATCACTACCCCTATCACTACCCCTATCACTACCCCTATCACTACCCCTATCACTACTCCTATCACTAACCCAACCCCTGCTTAATCACTCCTAGCTTTTGTCCTCTCACCATAACTACACCACTGCTTTTAATATCCCCACTCTTTATTTCAACCACTATCATCTGAAGTGCAATGTTATAATTGTTGTAAAGCGCCTTGGATTAAGGCACGACATAGATCTATCTATATAGGATAAGATGGTGCGTCGTCCGTCCTTGCCAATGAAGCGCCCTGCCCAAGCCCAATTACTTTACTTTACAATTTGAATGATGTCATCAACCTCCGTCCCGATTACGTCGGGAGGGACGCAGGTTAACGAGATGTCTGTGATTGCGTGGAATTTGTCACGCGTGCCTACAGCGGCTGGCAAGCACAAGTGGCCACCGATCCAAGTACTCACCACGCTCCACCCTGGGGAGCTCCCTAGGTCGCAGGAGATAGGGCGTAATCAGGGGCGTGGATCTGCTCGCATTGTCTCGAGCGCTGCGCTTCCAGTACCATCGCTCTGCAGGAGGTGGCAGCCTTGCATCAATTTGTTCTTCGCGCGCTTTAGAGTAAAATGATTTTGTTCATCCCGACTCACCAGCAGAGGAGAACTAGCAACTTTGTAACCGTGGCGGCACACCACGGGCAGGTGAGTACGGTCGGTGAAGTAATGTACGTGGAAAGGAAAGAGAAAAGAGAAGGGGTGGGAAAGTGAAGAAAGGGATGGAGGAGCGGAGGAACGGGAGCAGAGACTGCAGGAGAGTGGGAGGGAAAGGCTGCATCAGGGACTCGACGCAAACGCAAAGAGTGGAGTCTGTTTTCACAGTGGGCGGTGGGCAGAGGGGGGAGGGTTTTAGAGAGGGGGTGGCCACACACAAGTCACGTGATTTACAGGAGGCCTGAGCTGGTTTGGATTTAGAGTTGATTCATTGCTCCCGGCAAGTAAATCAATTCAGAGTGGCAATTTGATCTTAAGAATGCATGTCTTTAAAAAATATATATATATCGCTCCCTAACATTTTCACGACTGCTATCGGTGTTGCAAAAGCACAGACGTGGGGGACGATCCACAAAAGTGTATATCACAGAGATCCCTTCATCAAGCGACCTCTGCTCCACGCCGCAGAAAAGACATCACTCCCCCACCCATGATGCCGCCACAAATAACGTTCGGCGCACGGCAGTCGAACCAGTGTGTTTATTTCTCAGAGCCGGAATTTAGCCGTGCTAAGCGCAGAACCAAATGTAACGTGGTGGGTGGTGTTTTTTTTATTCTGGCAGACATTGGCTACGGAGTACAGGTTTCCCTCGCTCTGTGCGGTGGTAGTAGCAGTAGCAGATGCTCTCCGAATAAAGGGCACACGCACACAAAGCAAAACCGCACACAGTACACAATGTTATATCTGTGTGTGTATCTCTATGTGTATCTCTCTGTGTGTGTATATGTATCTCTGTCTGAGACAGCTTCCTACCGAGTAGCACATACAGTACACACTGTTGTGCCACGTAGGACCGCATAGCCGCATCTAGAGTGAATTCATACCGCGTAGTCGAGCAAATGTTGGGGTCGAAAGAGGTTATCCGCATCTACAGTGCGAAGTCGCACAAACCGAACCCACGTAGAGCAAGGGACACCTGAACCAAGCTGAGCCCATCAAGTCAACCGCGCTTGAGGTCCCGGTCTAAATCACAGGCAGCGGCTGAAAGCTGGATTCGAACGGAGGATCTCAGCGACGACGGTTCTGCGGTCTCATTTCCGATTCCCGTGCCGGCGTATTGAGCCGCAGTGAAATTCTTCGGCCTGTTTTAACCTCTCCTGAGCCTCATCAGCAGATGCGAGTTCACGGTTTTCTCGCTTGATGCAAATGCTGCTGGAAAGCATTGATTCAGAGAGTCCCGTAGGGTACTGAAACCTAATGGGTATTTTAGTTCTTATTTGTTTTGCGTGATGACCGATAGGTCAGCTCGTTGTAAATGTATCGACGGGATTCCACTCGACCTGGTCTGGTGACCAATGACTGCACCAGAAAACAAAAAAAACGGATGTCGATTTAAATTTGGTTTCACATTGAAATTTGACGAACATTCCATCCCTGGGAAGTGAAACGTCGGTTTGACCGACGCGTGACGAGCGTCGCTCTTTGTCGCAGGGCAGAGGAGAAGTTGCTGCTTCTTGCTGACCGAGTGTACAAAGGAGATGTCACTTGGAAGGGACGTCAGGGGAAGCTCTGCAATATCTCATTCTGCGGACCGTTCTCCGGGAGGCGTTAAGCTGCTCTGTGAGAGCTCCGATCGCTGCCTCGCACGATCATGATACATTTTTGGGTCATTTATCATCGAGGTTGGCTTCGGCTGAAGCAGTGATGAACCGGCCACGTTTGCTCATCAAGTGAAAAAAAATATTAACTGGCTGTGTCAAGTGGAGGAGGGTGTACAACACAATGTTTTACTTAAGCGAACTTGACCAAAAAAAAAATCTTATTCCGAATCACGATATTGCTCGCGATAGGCCGACGTGTTTGGGATCAAATTGGGTCAAAGATGAAAATAAATTATTGACCGACACGCCCCGCTCGCCCATCACCCCCCCCCCCCGTCACTGTTTGTGGTTTGCACAACAAAGGGGTCACTAATTGACATCAATAGCCGCTCACGTAGAGAGAGAGAGGGCCTTTAATGGGCGCCGACATTAGCGCTCCGGAGTCCAGTGATGGTTTAATCACAGCCTGCCTCTCTCGCCCTCTGTCGCCCTCGGAAAGGGCATTTTCTTTTGGCTTTTATCCTAAAAACGATATTTTATTATTGCACATTCAAACGCACAGCAAACTCCAAAGGCGGAACCGCGCGGAGAGAGACGCAAGCAGCAACGTTAAATACCAACAAATTGTGTCGTCGGTGTAAATGTAAGAACGGGGATGGCGAGTGTACCCGTGGGTAGCGTTTGAGTGGTGAAGGGAGCCAGGTCCCTTGTCGCGATAGTCTGCCCATAGTAGACAGAGTGAAGACAACGGAGCGAGTTGAGAGCATCGCACTACCCTAAGGTCGCCCATATTGCCCACGCAAGTTTATTACATTTAAGTATTTAACCCCACACTAAGGGCGTTTATTCTGCCGTCCAATCACGCGGGGTTCATTAAGCAGGAACAAACAAACAACGGCGAGAGGGTTTCCCCACTTTCGCTGCGGGGACGTTTTTGGCCGAGCGGCGCTTTTTCAGGAACACGTGGAGATCCCCGTCGTAACCTCGCTTTGAGTTGACGCTGGCATCCATTTGAACTGCGCGCACCTTCTTCCCGCGGCACAGTTCGGCAGCGCAACTGGCCCTCATCCAGCGGTGGATTGTCGCAAGGGACCACAGCTCGTACGTGAACTCTCGTCTATGGCAAAGGCCTAAATAATTATTTTTAAGCCATCTCGTTATTCTGGCCGCTGTGGCCCCACCGCAGAAGCGCGCTCCACGTTTTTACGGCTCACTCAGGCTCGGCGTAAGAATGCACTCTGAGTGCCTGAGTAGATTTATTTATTTTTTAACCGGCAACGCGATATCTCTCGGCGCTCAGGGGGAAAGTTCAGACGGAGGGTTTGGCCGTCTCGCGTACTCTCTCTCTCTTGCTCTCTCCCTCGCCCTGTTCCCTCTCTCTCTCTATCTCGATCCCTTACATGCTTCCACTCTCTCACACTCTTACTTTCTCACTCCCATTCACTCGGCCGTTCATTCGCTCTCTCTATCTTGATCTCGCTCTCGCTCAACTCCTCTCGTTCACTCTCTCGCTCACCCACTCTGTCTTTGTCGTTCACTCACTCTCTGGTGAATTCGCTCACTCATTCTCAATCTCTTATTCAGTCACTCTCTTTCATTCTCATGATCTCGCTGTTTCTACTTCCCTCCCACCCTTCCCTCCCACCGCCCGCTGCCTCATTAAAGATGGGGGGGGGTGGGGGGGGGAGGCTGCATGAGAACCACATGTTGAGATGACAGACGCACAGCTCTTGGCCTGCCCTGGTTTGCCCCACGTAGACTCAACACGAGACGCCTCGCTCACCCCCGCTCACCAGCGCTCACCAACGCTCAGCACCCCTCACAACCGCATCCGTTCCCTGGGCAGTGGGCGAGCTCAGCGATTCCGTGCACGCACGCACTGCTCCACTCAGTGTCTCCGAGTATCATCGGCGTCAGCCACGGTCATTTCCACTACTGAATAAAGGCCACCACTGCTTCTCCCGATGCTGCGATGTATCGATCCACCGCCTTTGCAATGTTCTCACCATCCATCTCCTTGGCCACTTTCCATTCCTTGGCTGCTGCCACTCCATTATTATTGTTGACGGGCGCCGCGGTGGCTAGGAGATGTTAACTACCTCGCCAGGTATCCAGGAGATCGTGGGTTCGATCCCGAACCCTTAACGCCTGTATATTTGGAGTTTGCGTGTACTCCCCGTGGTTGTGTGGATTTTTCTCCGGGCCCTCCGGTTTTTCACTCCACATTTAGAAACATGTATTTAGAGTATTTGGCTGCTATAAATGTCCACGTGATAAGCCATTTCGTTGAGCTATCATTTGTGGCCAGGTCGCTTCTGAAAAAGAGCTATATAGCTCATTGGGGCCTTGGTAAAATAAAAATAGTTTATAGTGCATTTTTGACCATGTAAATGAATGACAAGTATTTATATGCTTTGTTTTTACCATTGCAGACAAATATATGAGCAGAATTTGTTTAAGCACGCAAACTCTGCACCGGTTGCATGCAACCTTCTGGTTTTTCAACAAAAGCTCCCAGGTTACCAGATGCTTTTGGCAAGAGCACTCGAAGTAACCTGTGGGGCCCTCTTCAAGGAAAAAAAAACGACTTAACTTTTACCCGTAACGCAACGAGTACGAGCACGAACATGTATTGGAAGGCCGAACGCACGATTCCCGATCCTTTACCTTTATTTAATTAAAGTCGTCCCCGCGAGGTTCCGCTGGCCAGCGCGGCGCTTGCCCCGAGTGATCACGTGGCCCAATTTCCCCCAGATTCCTTCAACCCCCTCCCCACCCAACCGCGTCCACATTCTCCTCTCGGTTTTCCCTTCGCCGCCCCTGCAGCAGCAGCAGCCTTCCTCCGCGCGCGCTTTATAATGCCAGCGGCACGTTGTGCGTTTCGCGGTGTTTTGGCAAGGAGGTCCGTTTAACCCCAGCGGGATCGCATCGTCCCAGCGGAATTGCTGCTGCCAATGACGATTGGCAGTCCCACAAAAGGCACAGTCGGCAAGTTTAAAATCACCCCTCATGCAGCGCTCTACCTCTGTGGCCCTCTCTGCATGCTGTGCACAAGGGCCGTTGCCCGAAACTTCGCCTTTTGTACCATTTCTCAATGCGCTTAGTTTTTTTTTATATATATATATAAAATCTCTATCTTGTCAAGTTTGGCCAAGAATTATCCATTGACAGGTCTGTGTGTGTGTGTACGTTTAACTTAATTCGCACCGTACGTAGCCAATCGGGGGGGGTGCGGAGGTCAACGCAGCTTCGGTGCGGTGCAGTGCAGGCCGCACCTGCGCAGCCAAAACGCAGAAACGGCACCGGCGGGAGATGTGCGTCATCCGCCAGCCTGCTCACGTTCACTGCCGCGGTGAAATTCAAAACGCTCCCGGGGGGATGACCGGCCGCTTGCGGAGCGCTTTGCCTCTTTCCCCCTCCCGTGATCGTTCCCTTCCGCCTTTCTGCAACGTAATTTTAAAAAAAAAAAAGCAAAAAGCGATTTCGCCGTCCGCGTTTTTAGCGAAGCGGACGACCACGTCCGAGGCGCGGTGCGAGTTGCTAGTTCGTGTTCAGTGTCAAATTCTAAGGCGTCGCTGGGGAATCGCACATCGGTGGAGAATTGTTTTTGTCGAAGTCAAATCCGGCTTGTGATGCAGAACGACAAGTTCTTCGTGATTTCTTCCTGTTAGTACACGCGAGTTGGCCCAACGTCGACCCCGTCGTTGTTGTCGTTCGTTTGTCGCGCACAGAGCAGCTGGCGAGCGTGGCGCCCGAGGGCTGCCCCAGCCTGGCGCTGCAGGCGGTGGCTGGACCCCTTGCCGCCCTCACCGCCAACACCGTCACCAACCCCATGGACGTCGTCCGCACGCGCATCCAGGTCAGGGCGGCGGGGTTTCACGACGGGGTATGGGGGACGGTGGGGGTGGCGGTGGGGGTGGTGGGGACGATGGGGGGGCTGACCCGGAGTGCCACGGCTGCCACAGGGGCGATGGGGGCGTTGGCACAGTGAGATCGCGCGCCCCACCCTCGTGCTAACCGCGTGCAACGCCCTGCTAGCGCCAACCTGATCTCGTGTCTCCACTCTGCACACCTCTCCTATCCCATCATAATCTCTCTTCTGAATACGTCTCATGAATCTTATATCTCTCTTCTAATGGCATCTCTTAGCTCGCATGCACCGGCCTTGCGGTGTTCCGGCCCATCTGCTCACCCTCTCACTCACTAACCTGCTCTCCCACCCCACCCACCCACTTCAGGATTATCCGGCCGATCTACGTGGAACTCGCTCTTTGTGATTCGAACTCTTAACTTTCAGCCAGTTCAGCGGCAGTGGAATTCCAGACAGAAGTGTATCTGCAAAGCTCACAAAGCGTAACCACGGCGCCTTCCTCCGCAACAGCCTTGGCGCTGTAAGAAAGGCGCGGATACCAAACCCCACTTATTTATTTACGGCCCTTTCATATGTTACCCGAGTACATCTGAATACACGCTGCTTGCTGTCCCACTGCCCCTCTCTCCACTCGGTGTGTTCACCTCGTGCTCCTCCGTCTGGCCCACTGCTCTGGGCTCGTCAACCGGCCCCGGGCCTCGTGGCTGGACCGGTCTCCGGCTATTTTCTTTTAATTTCAAAAGCGACGCTGCCGTTGAAACGAAGAGACGCGGCAAAAACAACACGCGTACACGATCCTGGCTCCCTCGCTTGGGAAGTCACGTGACTGTGGGGGTGGGTGGGGAGGGTGGGTGGATGGGGCATCCTTTGTAAATCCGTTTTCTCGCTGGCTGCGAGATGTTTAAACGCTCCGCTAAATATTTTTGCAGTGTCACAACGAAAAGAAACTTAAGCGCGGTGCGGGACAATTTTTGCCATTTTTCTCTTCCCCCCCCCCCCCATTCCATATTTGTTTTAACATAATCCGCACGCACGCACGGCCTCGCCGTCCAGACGTTTCAGCTCGCTCCGCTAGAGCTGCGTTTGTTTGTCTAAGAACCTGCCGGCCGTTTAGCGGCGATTCTTACAGCAACAAAAAAGCCACAACCAAAACAGAGAGCGCCCCGATGTCCCGCTCTGCCAAGTTGCCGCCACGGTAGATTTCGTCCGCGCAGTGTCTTGGAGAGGTTTCCCCGAAGCGAACGCGAACCATCTGCTTCCCCAGCGAGCCGCTCCATCGCTCAACACCGCTCACGTTTGTGTTGCGGGGGGGGGGGAGGGTAGACAGGGTGGGTAGGGGGGGTGCCGTATCTGATGAGGCCGTTGCCCGTGGTGTTGGCGTTGGCGTGGTTTTGTCTCTTTCGCTGCATGCTGTTCGGGTAGCACCGCCGCAATGCGTGTCATTCGGCGCGATGTCCGACGTTTCGCTCCATGTGCTGGGAGCGCAGGATTCGCAACACACCTCCGATAAAGCATCGCGCCGGTACTCACATTCACAACAAACCAGTTTTACACAGCTCTTCATATTCATACCCGCTCTTCAGATTACCGCGATTCACATTTGCAAAACATTGCTTTACTAGGATTAACATTTGTGACATGTGTCTCTGTGTCAGTATATATGGGTTTCTGTGTGAGTCTGTGGGTCTCTGTATAAGTCTATGGGTCTCTGCGCAAATTTTTAGGGGTCAACGTGAGTCTGAATCTCTGTGCCTTTGGTCTATATGCGAGTCTGGAACTCGCGATGCACGGATCGGGCAATTCACTTCAATTGTTGCACGCAAATTACATGCAAATGGTATGCTAATGGTGCTTTAATGAGATGCTATACTACAGTTAGGCTAATGGAGCAGGGAAAGAAGAAACCGTGCAAATGAGCTGGAAATAAAATTGATGAAAAGAAAAAAATTCTAATGAAATGGTCGATGACGAAGGAGACCCAGTTGTGAACCTGGGGTTTGAGTCCTGGTTAAACCAGGTTCTCAAATCTAGTGCGTTCATGGCCTCCACCAATGACTCGCATAGAGATCCATAGACTCGCATCGAGACGCATAGACTGACATTGAGACTCATAGACTCACATCGAGACGCATAGACTCACATCGAGACCCATAGACTCACGTGGAGACCCATAGACTCACATGGAGACCCATAGACTCACATGGAGACCCATAGACTCACATCGCGACCCATAGACTCACGTGGAGACCCATAGACTCACGTGGAGACCCATAGACTCACGTGGAGACCCATAGACCTCACATAGATTGATTTGTGCACGGGCATGAAGTCTATGTAACGATCAAGCGGTTCTCTGTTTGAGTAGAGGCACATAATAGCAGTTCAGAAAACGGAGAGAGAGAGAAAATCCGCGTGGACGACCCTTCGCGATACCGTACCACTATTTTTCTATCTACGTGTCTTTACCGAAAGAACCAAAGAATATAGAAGCAGGAACCCGCTGTTCCGCCGTGGGCCATCCAGGGCCGTTAATCCGCGCTAAACAGCGGGGTCGCCATAAACGAGGGGAAATGTCACGTCCTCGGGGCTCGTTAAACAAGCCGACATCCTGGGCTATTGTGCGGCGTTGGGGGCGAGCTCTTAAAGAGAGAGCCGCGCGGAAAATTGCCCCCCGGTTTTATGGGCGCCGGGCGGTGTGGCCGCCGTCGCTTGCGTGTGCCGAGGGAGAGAGCGGTGGGGGGGGGGGGGCATCAGACTAGCAGGGACAACGAGGAGGAGGAGCCGGCCTTGGCTAGTGGAAAAGTTAATGCCACAGCCGTTGTGTGTGTGTGTGTGATTCGTAATTGGTTTGGTCGATATAAAATTCCGTTTATATTTATGTGTCACCTTCCGGCACACTGCCAGCTCTCAGAGAATGGCTTCCCGGAAGGTGACATTGCAACCCGCGCGTTCGTTGGACCATACTTCACCGCGCTGGTCTGGGGTGGAACACTCCACTGTGTTAAAGCAGCAGTCAAGGTTGATTGATGATCCAGCCCCTCGCTCATTCAATCGAGTCACTTGCTCACTCGGCTGTGGTCAGTCGCCTCCTTGTCACTCTTCTTTCGCCAGTGCCATGGTCACTGTTCCCGTGAGCTTTCACTCGTTGGTTTCTCTACCCACACTGAGGACTTGGGTCTCGACCAGACGCTGGCTGCCGAGTCTCTTCCACCACCACGCTGTGTCCAGCCAGCCACACTGCAGGTCACCACGTTTTGTCTTCCTGCTCCTTCCTCTCTCAGCCACTATCGTGTGGATTTCCCCACCGTCTTCTCTTCCACCCCCCCTCCCCCACCCAAACTCTTACAACGATAACCTTGATCAATTAAAAAATGACATGTGTCGAAAGCTGTCTTACCTATTGCCACTCATGGTGCTGTTTGTTGCTGGCCGCTTGGTGCTGCTCGGCAACTGTAACAAAAAAAAAACATTTTTAAAAATCCACTCAACTTTTAACCGAGAGGTGGAAGGCAGCAGCTCCGGAGAGACCTCCATCTTCACCTGCACAAACACGGCCCGCTGATTGACACGGCAGATAGGCGAGGAATGTTAGTTGGTTTACAGAGAGACGCCAGGGAGAGTTCGGGGCCCCAGGTTCTACTGCGGAGTACGACTTAGAGAGACAGAGGTGGGGAGCAAGGAAGGGAAAGGGAACGGGCGTTTAACCCCCCCCCGCTAATCACACAAACAAAGACAACAAAGATCCCCCGTATAACCTGTAACAGACTGTAGGGGCAAGTGCTGTTAGCGAGCAGCACCTATGAAGGCCGGAACGGTACACGAGGGGGTGGGTGGCCAGCACCACGCCCGACCGCCTTTGTCTCCCTAGTGGCAATGTTTACACACCGCACCAGGTACTCATTTGAGGCTGAGTCGACCTAGGGGAGGCCCGGGACCGGTTCAGATAATCGTCACTGGTGTTGGCCGTGAGCGGGAATCGAACCCGGGTTGCCAGGTTCATAGCGCAGCACGCTAACCGCTACACTATCGCTCCCCACCACACAAACACACACGTACGTACACACACGTACACACACGTACACACACATACACACGTCCACACGTACACACATGTACACACGTCCACACGTACACACACGTACACACGCACACGTACACACACGTCCACACACGTACGTGTGCACACCCTTTTATTTGCTCCAGATTCCTGTCCGGTCGCCTTGAGATTGCCAGGTGCTGCGACCTCTGACCCCGTGGCACCGCCGCTGGGAACGCGGGCGGCAGTCACGCCCGTAATGACTGCCGCTCCCTCCGCACGTCGTGACCACCACGTGGGATGGCTTTCATCCAGCAGCGGATTCATATATGCCAATGATATCGACGATGCCGATGATGCCGACAATATCTATGATGATGGCGACGACGACGATGATGATGATGGTGACGTGCGCACCGTGTCCACCATGCCCGAGCGACCGCGATTGCTGTCGAAATCCCGCAGCTCGATCGTCGCCTGTGACCGCTTTGTCCACGCCCGAGCCGGGAGTTGCGCAACAGGGAAATCGAACGGCGCGCTCGCGATCGTGACAACCAAGCGACGCGTTTGGCAAACGCGTCGCTGCAAATCTACCGCGGACAACCGGTTGCGGCGGCGTCCACGGATCCGCGATTCAAGTTGCACCCGGCCAAATTGCTTGCAGCCGATCGCTCACGTTTTTGCGCGGCAGCACGCGGGGGCCACAGGTTAACCCCAACCACCCCGGCTTTAATAAGAAGCGTCCACTTTTTTTTTAGTTTCCGTGCGCGTGCGCGTGTTTGGGCTGGAGAGGGAGAGGGCGGAGCAGGCCAACGTGGGAGCGCGCTGGGGTCACGTGACCCCTCTACCCGGGTGGGCGATCTGCCCGGCGTTGAGAGAGGGTAGGGTCGGGGGGAGACAAAATTGACGGCGGCGGCGGCGGCGAGGGTTAAATAAAGTGACCGCGTCTCCGCGGAGATGACTCAGAGAGCCGTTCTGAGTGACCAGCCTCTGAGCCACCCGGATTAGGTTTCCCCCGCTCTCCCCCCCCCCCCCCTTGCCCCCTCCCCCCCTCCCTCCCAACGTATGTTCTCCGGTCTTGTGTCACGTTCTGCGCTCTCCTCCTCGCACGTTAATGGAGGTTGTCCCAACATCGCAACGTAGGGCCGCAGAGCTTGGGCAATTGTTGGCGGCGCCGGTTCTGGCTGCCGCCTTCTCTGAGCGCTCATCTGTGGTTTCCCGCGCCTATGAATCTACGGGATGTGTGCGGCGGGCGCGTTACGCGCTTGTCACTTCCTGCTGTGAAACCGAGGAATCAATGGGGAAGTCTTTGGGGGAGCGGCGCGAGACCCTCCGTGTCAAAGAACAGCACGCAGAGACGGATATCCCAGAGCTACTGCTGGGATTCCTTTGAAGTGACTTCTGCTCCACGCAGTGAGGTGGGGGGGGGGGGGGGGGGGGGTGGGGAGCGGCAATATCCCACCCACCTTGGGAGAGAGTAATCATTAGATTGTAATGTTTGAAAAAAGATAATGATGACGATGATGATAATGATGGTGGTGGCAGTGATGGCGGTGGTGGTGATGATGATAAGGATGGTGAAGCTCACAACAATGATCGTGATGAGAGTGTTGATTATTGTGCTAATGGTGGTGATAATAACGATGTTGATGATGACGATAATTAAACCAATTGTAATAATGATTGTGACGGGGAAAAAATGCTCACAAGAAAATGTACCGCATTTAATGCGTTATGAAGTAGGGCTATTGCCTGAAACGTCACCTACTATATAATTTCTACTTTAAATTAGAGCCAGATCGTCACCTGGTGACCCAATCGAAAATGAAATCGTGATTCTCATCACCGGCAGCGAAAACCCACAGGGTAAGACGATCGTGGCCTCCTCCTTCTTCGTGTGGCCGCTGACGTCGTTGATGTACAGCAGCAGCAGCCCTCATTGAGCCAGAAGATTGCGTCCCTCCACCTCCTGCTCGGCGTGTGTGTGCATCGGAAACGGCGACAATGTCGGCGGCGTCTGTAGCGACGTCGGCGGCGATAACGGCGTCGGTCTCCCGTACCTGGCGGGCGTGCAGGTGGAGGGCAAGTCGTCCATCGTGGGCACGGTGCGGCAGCTGCTGGCCGAGGAGGGGGCCTGGGGCTTCACCAAGGGCCTGTCGGCGCGACTCATCTCCTCGGTGCCCACCACCGTGGTCATCGTCGTCGGCTACGAGACGCTCAAGAAGCTGAGCCTGCGCGCCGAGCTCATCGACTCGCGCTGCTTGTGACGCCCGTCACGCCGCGACCCCCCCCCCCCACCCACCCCGCTCCCCGCCAGTATCGCGACGAGGCTTCCTTGCGTTTGGACTCCCAACGGGAAGAAACAACGGACGATGAACGGGCGAAGCCGTAGAGCCACACTCAATGTGTTGTAATGGTCAAGGTGCAGCCCTGCCGTTATGTTGGCTCGTGCGACAGCCACGCTAGCCCAGACGTCTCGGTGGCGGGGGGGGGGGGGGGGGGGGAGGGGTCTGGGGGGAGCGCCCGCCACGAATTGACCTCCGCCGACCGACGTCACTGCGACCGTTCCCGTTCACGCTGCTGGGAGGTGGAATTGAACCGGCGACCTCCGGATTGCGGGTCCGCTCGGCGCGCTGCTCACCCCTTGCACCGCCGTGGCAGCGGCGACCCAACTTATTTATCTTTTTACTTACACTAATTTAACGACGATAATTTCTGTTAATATATACATGTCGCTGGCCCGTTAAGCGGCGGTAACTTGGCGATCGCACGAGCGGTGCAGCCTCACTGGGGCCCCACGAGCCGCCGGCATCTTGAGCCCCCCACGCTAATCGAGTGCTGGGGGGGGGGGGGGGAAGTGTTTTATCTCCGGCTACGCCACGTATAGACCGCCACTCGCCATCGACGTTTTCCCGTCACCGCGGGCAATCTGAGCTGCGCTGGTCGGGTGCTGGGAGGGGGGGAGGGAGGCAGGGGGGTTTGGCGAGTGAATATTTTGAACCTGCGCAACAATTGCCGCGTTATTTTACGTGATCTGAAGAAAGTCCATCTTCATTTTAAGGCCGCTGTGTTATTGACGAGCGTCAGTTGTTACTTGTGTGCAGCTGCCAACGCGGCCTCAGCAGCAGCATCGCCAAACGGCGGTATTCACACAGCTATAATAGGAGTCAATTGCTTGATAACCGCACTCATTTCACACGGTCATCGCATGGATCCACCGTTGCTGGCCACGCGGAGACGTCGGAACGACGGGCAGAGCTGCGCCACATCGGGTGGTACCGCCCAGCGAGACGTCTGCCCCAGGTTCGTGGAGGGCGAGGTTAAGAGGTCACCACAGCATATACACACACACACCTCGCAATCGTTAAAGTCAAATCCTGAACGTCGAGATGTTGGTTCTCTCTTTCCCTCGGTCGCTGACCTCTGGATGTCGGTCCAGCACCGGTCTCGGTGACCTGGCCTCCTCCTCCACCACGCGTCCCACCCATCACATCCTCCTCCTATCCTCCAACCGACAAGTTGCTTACTCAATTGTCCACCCTGCCCACTCCATCACAGATTCCTCTTCCTGGTTACATCTACGGCACTTTCTACAAGCCATGTTCTACTCGCAACCCCCATTTGTGGAGATTCAAACAGAGCAACAAAAAAAAATCAGTGCTATGCGATTATACATACATATTTCTTTCCCCAGTAATGTAGCGTGATTGTTTTAAGGCAAGCAGCTAACAAAAGCGTCGAACGCCGCTACCTCTCGGGACGCGTTGCGTCGAGCGTAAATTTGCAAACGGAGAAACAGAGTGATCCGCGAAGTGCCCAGGTTGCACGCAGCTCTCGGGGAGCGCCGGCGATCGCCGTACCGTCCGGTCGACGTCCCTGGATTTGGCGCGTGCCCCTGCTTCGTCGTCGCTGTGAAAAAAAAAGAAAAAAAAACTTTCTCGTCCTTCGGCTCTCCGCGGTCGCGTTTGGTGGCCCCTTTTGCCGAAACGCTCCGGAGGTTTTGTTTCCCGCGCAGTGAACGTCGACGGGTTTTCGGGCTGCTGGTGTCAAATGTCATCCTTTTTGCAGAAACGGCGAATGTTTTAATGGTTCTCTCTCTGTTCCCCTTGACCTTTTAACAAACACAAAAAAAAATTGTCGGGGATGTAAAGCGTAATTGTTGCCAGATCCGCACGCGGGGGTTTTTCTCCGTAACCATAATTCTCGGAATCGGATGCAGTTTTTGCACTTTTTTTTTTTTACACATTTTCTCCGATGTCTTGGCGATCGATGCCAGGACCGTGGTCGTTACGCGAGGCCTGAGAATCCATTGGAATCCCTCGCGGGGCAGCGCGAGCCCCCTTCGTGTTCGAGAACGGTCGACGGAAGCGGATATCGAAGAGCTACCCGTCAAAGTGAGCTATGGTGCACGCAGAGGCAGCACTTTCCCGCCCGCTCCTGCCGTACGAGTGTAATCGCCCGTCGCATGACGATCAAACTGAGATTTTAAGCCTCGGCGTTTGACTTTAGCCAAATAAAGTGCCGCACCACTTTTTTTTACGTCATCAATGTTTTTGTGCAGTTATTGGTGACTGGACTGAGAACGTAAACTCGTTCACTAGAGAACCCAGTTTGATCGCAACTCGATCTATGATGTGACTGTTACTGAAACTGGTTTTATCTTAGCAGGTAAGGCCCACTGAGCCGTGTAGCCCTATTTCAGAAGCGACCTGGCTTCAAATGATAGCTCAACGAAGTGCCTTTTCACGTGACAATCTATAGCAGCCAAATTCTCCAAACACATGTTTCTAAATGTGGAGGGAAAAACCGTAGGATCCGGATAAAAAAATCCGCGTGACCACAGCAGCAAGCGCCGGGGCCTGGATCGAACCCACGACCTCCTGCATACCTGGCGACGTAGTCAACATCTCGCCACCATGGCGCCCTGCACAGCGGGTCCTCGTGCAAATCTGCGATTCTCGGTGTGAGCTTGGGTCGAACCCAGCATCTCGGAGCGGTCTGACCTCTGAGCCCCAGCCGCTGTCGGGCACACGCACACGTTTTTAAAAAAGAAAAAAAGCGATCACGTGTGGCACGTCAAGTCTTGCATGCCCATCGTGTGCTTTTAATTATGTACATGGCCTCGTATGTACGCGTGTGCTCGTGCTCGTTGCCCTCTCTGCATCGTGCATCGCGCGACGGATTGATGGTCTGTTGGAAACGCGGCCGCTCTGTGCGCGGCCAACGCTTGTGGTTGCGGCCCGGAGAGGAGCGAATTAAAAAAAATATTATTTGATTCGTACAACGAACCGGCTCTGGAATTCCTCCGTCGTCCGTATCGGGTGTCCCCTCTTTTCAGGAGAGAAGTTGGGGGGGGGGGGGGGGGGGGGGGGTGTGACGATCGTTTTGGACAAAAGAGAGGAGAAGCCTACCCCGAGTGTGAAGCGAAGCCGGCTGCAGCCCGGCTCGGCCGCTGCTGAGATCCGACACCGCCTGACGCATTCGGAGCCCCTGGACACGGCTTAGAGCGACTGCGCTAAGGTCGAACACGTCCACTCGCTCTCTAATCGTCCCCTCCCCCAGCCGTCTGTTGTTGTTGTTGTGCAGAACCCCGGGGGGACGAGGTGGCGGTGGCTGCTCATTGCGCGAGCGGGCGGCACGCAATCGTCGCACAGTCGCGGGTTCAAATGCGGGTTCGGGGCTAACTCGGCCCATCATCCCTCCAGGGTCGATAAAGTGATGACCACCACGTTGTGGGAGATGTCAACAGCGGTTGTCCTACTTTGAGCGCGGTTGGCTACGTACGGTGCGAAGGAAGTTCAACATGCATGCATTATATACACTCGCCTCCTGCCGCCATAGGAACGTGGAATTTCAACCGCTGCGTCTTAGAAGACTCGATAGAGAACATCGATGCCTCACTTCTCCGTTGAGCAGGATGTTCACTCCGACCTGCGCTCTGTAAGAGGGCTGGAGCGATGCATCGGTGAAGCTTTTTTTTGTATCCTCGCTCGAACTCACAGCTCCGAGCGCCGCTGTGCACGTTGTATTTTGACGGGGGGGAGTCCCAAAGTTGCCGTCAACGGATTCGGCGGAGTCGCCGGGACAGCGCCGGGGTAGGGGGGGGGGATCGAAGATTTCGGTCGAATTGATTTCTCGCGATCGCGTCTGCCACGGGGCCCATTCGGCACGGTGTCCCGGACGTTTCGCTCTCTCGCACGCTCCTTCGGGGACCGCATTCGTCGCTTGCCGTCGCTGTGTTCACTTCCCGATGCCGACGTTCCGCCCCGGCACGCGGGGCGGAACGTCGGGACATCGTTGCCGGAGGCGAGAGATTGCAAAGTCGACGGAGGGGAACGCAGCGCCCGCGGTCCAATGCTTTCGAGGCGAGGGTTGGCGGGTCGCGACCGACACTTGCGTGAGATATTCTTTGGTTCTTTCGGTGAAGTCACGTGGGTAGAAAAAAACCAATGCCGAAAGAACCAAAGAATATGAATTCCTGCAGTCACGAAAGTTTGAAGTCAAAATTTGCGTGAGAATTGCAAACCTGCTGGGGCAGAGGGTGGCCGGGTCTGCGCAACGAGGTGTGCAGCACAGCAAGTGGGTTCGGGAGTGGAGCCAGAGTGTTGCGTCGCTGGCCTTTAATCGGTGTTATCCCGTGGTACGAGCGGTGGATTTTCTCTGGGTTCTCGGGTTACCTCCCACACAAAAGCAAAAAAAAACCGCTTATCATGAAAGAAAAAAAAACGTTAAATGGATGAACATCTTCTTGGTTCTTTCGGTGAAGTCACGTAGAATGTTTCATTTTTTATTATTTTATTTCAATTCTACGTGGTGGTGACTTTACCGAAAGAACCAAGAAGATAAATCCCTGCAGTCACGAAAGCTTTAAATCGAAACTTACGGATGAACATTTCAACGTGGCAGGAACCTCCAGACGAGTCGCTGACGGTCGAATCGTGGAGCTGCACGTGACGTGCTTTACGTTTCGGCTCTTGTGCAGCGTATTTTTTTTACGTCGTCAATCGCGATGCTTCTGATGATCCACTTGTCACAGCAGGCAACGGACACTGTTGAAGAGTGTGCGAAGGTGCATGAAGGGTGACATTTCTGGGATGACGCCGAGAGGCAGAGGGAGGGAACGCTGTGACAAGTGGATCAGAGGCGTCGCAATTGACGACGACAAAAAAAAAGCGGAACAAGAGCCGAAACGTAAACCACGTGACGTGCAGCTCCACGCTTCTACCGTCATCCAATGCCACGATCCACGCTCAAAGTGTTTTGGGGTCGGGCCACGTGGTGGTCGTGCTTTTGTTGCCAAATCGGCTGTCGGGTTAAGGTGGGCGCAAGGAACTTTCACGACGCATTCCAACCCCACAAAAACGTTACCATGAATAGTTGTATGTACTGTATATATCCCAAGGCTATATACAGTATATACTTATATCCAAGGCCGTAGCCATGGAGTCAACATTGGGGGGGACCAAATCTCTCAGGGGGTCTGGGGATCCCCCCCCAGAAAAAAATCTGAATTTGAAAACGAATTTCCTGCCTAAAATAATAAAAAAAAATTCACTAACACATAGGATGGACTTTTTATTTTATTATTTACAATAGTGTCTAATCGTGTATTGTATCACATTGCTCTGTTTTTTTATTTTTTTATCTTTCTTGTTTCATTGTATGTAATGGCAGAGATTAGGGATTAATAAAATACAGCCACAACCACAATCATATAAACAGAAATCTATTTTATAGCAATATATTGGGGGGACATTTTGAGCATATTTGAATATTGGGGGGGGGATGTGTCCCCCTCAATATATATTATAATTACGGCCTTGCTTATATCATACGACTATATATGGGAAAAAGGGGGCGTGGGGGTGCTGGTTAGTAAGTGCTAACCGCTGCGCTAACCGTGGCGCCACCGCTCCCGACGACAGACACGCACGGAAGAACCAAGACAATTCGCAGATGTTGATTAAAGCGGATTGCGGTGTTGGCCATGGGTTGATTACTTTTGACGCGAGTTTGCCTACTCACATTTCGCTTGCTCCGGGCACATATTGGAACACTCCGCGGCTAGCCGAGAGAGACCAGCGTGTGTGTGTTAGTGCGTGTGTGTTAGTGTGTTTGTGTTAGTGTGTGTATGTTAATGTGTGTGTGTATTAGATCTGCCCTCTGACCATCGACTAGTCATCTGTAAGATGCGCCTGCCATTCTTCCACTCCGGTGGTGGGTGTACACCCAGGACCCCATTCCAACCTAAAGTGGCCTGGTCTCAGTTATCTGATGAAAGTTGCAAGCGAGAATTTCATCATCCCTTGCGGCTGGGGTTGGCATCGTTCCCACTCCTCCTGATGTCGAGGGTAAATGGGCGAGGTTTAGGACTGTGACTCATGCAGCTGCAATGGCTGCTTTGGGTACGCGGTCCAGACCTCCCCAGAGACCCTGGCTGACAGAGGAGGTGTTCAGGATGGTTGAGAAAAAGCGACAGGCCCACTGTCATCGGCTACAGAATCCCACGTCAGAGAATGAGGAGGCTTACCGCAGCCTCCGCTCTAAGGTTCGGAGAGCCGTGAGGCGCTGCAAGGATGGGTGGTGGTCGCGGGTTGCTGAGGAGATGGAGTCTGCCTCAGTGGCCCGCGATCACAAATCTCTATTTAACTCCATCAAAAAAGTAACCTGCAGCGCCACACCTATTACCATAATTAGGGGAAAAAACGGTGATCCAATCTCCGACCCCCAGGAACAGGTTTGCAGATTTGCTGAGCATTTCTGTGAGGTCCTGGAGGAGGGAAAATCCCTCAGCCAGGAAAACATTGTGGCACAAAGTGAGGATGACCCTTTTGACGCTGTGGTGCCTCAAATATTGGAAGAAGTCACCCCCTGTGAGTGGCTGGCTGAAGTGCCATCTGTTGAGGAAATACTGAAGGCGATCCGGAGTCTGAAACCAGGAAAGGCAGCGGGCAGAGATGATCTCCCAAGCGAAATGCTGAAGGAGGGTGGCATTTGTGCACAGACTGCCCTACATGACATCATAACAACAGTCTCGACCACTAGATGGGTTCCGCAGGATTGGAAGGATGCCCTGGTGGTCCCCCTCTTTAAGAAGGGGGACCGCACAGACTGTAACAATTACAGGGGCATCTCACTCCTCATTGTGCCGGGAAAGGTTCTGGCAAGGATTATTCAACATCGCCTTGCCAGGCACGCTGAGGAGAGGCTTGCGGAGCCCCAATGCGGTTTCAGGAAAGGGCGGTCCTGCACAGATGCCATATTTTCTGTCCGTCTGCTACAGCAGAGGTGTAGGGAATTCCAGCAAGACCTACATCTCTGCTTTATTGACTTGGTCAAGGCCTATGATACCATCAGTAGGCCTGGGCTCTGGGTTGTTCTTCGTGCTTTTGGAGTACCTGACCCTCTGCTCACGATCATTAAGGACCTTCATGATGGTGAGCGAGCCCCATAAAACTACGTGGCCGGGAGTCAGAGCTATTCCCTGTACACCTTGGGGTGTGACAGGGATGTCCTCTGGCTCCCACATTATTTAACATCTATT